TTACATAGAGCTGTTACAACTACAAAATATTGCATAAACAAAACGACATAAGAATATTATGACAAAATAAGGCAAATGTAATTAACAACTATGAGCATGTATCAGTTTCCAATTCATATATGATAAGATATGCTATAATAATTGCTAATGAACATAACATGTTTCGTGGCCAGTACTTTAGGAATTAAATTACAAATGCATTATTAAACTTTGGCAAATAGGAAAGATCACTTTACACAACCGCGCTCGATTCACCGTTTCATCGTATATTTAAAACGGTATATTAAATCTAAACAATTTGAAACTCAATAACTATTAAAAAAGCACTGGCACTAGAACATTTCAACCATAGAAGTCACGTTGGTATTGTTTGGTTGTTTTACTCAAGAAAACTCGCACACTGTCTACTTTGTTAATTATTGCTCTCTTGAACACTCGCTAACGCCAGAAGCGAAGTTTTAATAACCAAAAAGACCCTGTTAATTATGGTTTTTAATATCTATCAGTTTGCCACAATACAGGCCATATTACAAACTCTACGTATGAAATTTCGACGAGATTAGTTCTCAACTAACCAAGCGACAGCTATACGTCAATGGGTAATACGATCATACACCTATTTACACGTTACTATGAAAGTATATTTAGGAAATCCGAAGATTTCCATGTCGATAAGATAAAACGATGTAAAACTTACGCTATGTTTAAGAATTAGCTTATGTTTATTTACTTAAAACACTATCAAGTATATAAGGTGAAAGAATATTGTTTATTAGTCAACTTTTAACCTCATTGTAACAATGCTTTACTTATCCAGCCTTACAAATAAACGCGGTATAAAGTTAAACTTAGGAATAAACTGAGTACAAGCAAATATTAGTACAAATTTTGCTTATAATCAGTTTATTCCCAACTTTAATTTTACACCGCGTTTATTTGTAAGGCTGTTGGATTTTCATTAGAGTTTACATATTTATAGATTCTTTTTCAGTTCTTTTGATAGTGATTTCATAAAAAAATGTCGTCTATAGAAATATCAGACATGAATTGTATCAAACCATTTTAAGTAAACAAAGTCTGATGTAAATTATTCCCGAGAGACATTTTTAAAACATTTACCAAATCAAATACAATCAATGTATTGACCCATTTGGCCACTTACATATTAATAAGCAGTTACCATATTTAAAAAAAATCTCAATAATAAAAAAAATATAACTAAAACAAAATGCTACAAGCTTATAATGCGAATAAAAACAAGCAAAACAATTAATAAATTTCATCTCGCGGCCATAGTGGTTAGAGAAAGAGATCTGGGATTAATATTCCTTAAGTAATAGTGATGTTTACAGAAACACTGCATTTTTTATTTATAGACAACTATTTTTAGGATTCTTGTTCGTTGCTGAAAACATTGTTATTTGTACAATAATAATAAACAAACTTCACAAAATAGTTGTTACAAAATTTAAAGGCATTATTAATTAAAAACTTGTGCCCTATACCATATGAAGCAAAATTACAATTCGGAATCAAATATTAGGAATATGAATCTTTTTAGACCAAATTTGATTATTTCAGAACACATTGTGGTCAATTTCTTTTTGTCATAGAATTCAATACTGAGGTAAAGAAGGTTTATTTGATTTCTGATTAAAACCACATAAAGACATAGAGTTATTGGAGAAGCAAAATTAGTTTTGCTGCAAATAAAAATTTGCGTTAAACAAAAAATTTACTTTTACATTGTGTACAAGTTTCCTTCATTGATTATGTTTTTATTACCCATTAATAAAACAAGACATTGCTGTTTATCCAGATTCAAAGTAGTTTATATTTAATATTGCTTTCTACACGTAATTTATATTTTTTACATAGCCCTTTAATAATAAAATGTATAGTTTTTGAGCTTAACATTGTTATATAAACATTATCCATTATTGCGAACAATTCATAATGATACAAATCTCTTAAAACTTATAATGTTTTAGATAACATACTAATTATATATCAATAAGCCTTCTGATAACTCTATGCCTAAGTATGGTGCCAATGAACTCTTTAGATGTGGTAAGTGAAATGACCTTGAAGAGTTCCGGTACTCGAGCTACGCGAGAACGATCTGATCCGCTCACTTAAACTGATTGAGTTGGATTGATACCTGGCTCACTCCAATTGATTGAGTTGTAGCGAGATCTCGCTCATTCCAATTGATTGAGTTGTAGCGAGATCTCGCTCATTCCAATTGATTGAGTTGTAGCGAGATCTCGCTCATTCCAATTGATTGAGTTATACTGAGATCTCACTCATTCCAAATGATTGAGTTATATTGAGATCTCGCTCATTCCAATTGACTGAGTTGTAGTGAGAACTCGCATATTCCTATTGATTGAGTGGATTGAGATCTCGCTCACTCGAACTGTCTTAGTGAGATCTCGCTCAGTCACTGGAACTGTTCAAGATTGTTTACTTATTTGAGAACTTTGATGAATGCTTACTCGAATTGTCCGAGTGCGAACGCGTCTATCACTTTAGGCACGTGCTCGTCGATACCGACGATGTCGAGGATGCCGCTGTGAGTGCCGTCTGTCGTCATCACGCGGTGCGACGCGAGGGACATCACTACCAATCTAGCATAAAACAATAAACATTAGTTAAACAAATTACGGTTTTACTAAATGATCGCATGTCAGATATTTGTTTATTCCACACTACTCTATCTTACTTAGTTCATCTTTTCTTTAGAAAACCCTACTAAAATTCATATCAAAACATTGAGCATATTGTAATAAGTAGCAATTCACTAATTGCTGCATTCAGTGCATCCTTATTGTAGATTAGCTTTTGTCCGAGATTTCTTCCGTGCAGCGAATTAAAAAAAAGAGAAGTAAGAAGCCATGATTTTCCAAGTTGTACATCTGTATCAAATTTTATCTAAACTTTTGCATTTACAACGTTAGTAAGATTTAGTAATCTTACTAATATTATAAATTCGAAAGTTTAGATGGATTGATGTTTGTTAGAGTTTGTAGCCTAAAAGTCCGTAGGGATCTGGAGGAAATTTGGCATAGATTACTTGCTTTTGTTTTTTCAATTCCGCGCGGTCGGAGTCGCGGGCGAAAGCTAGTAAATCTATAATGATAAGATAATCACTTGACTGCATGGTGTAACACATTACCACTGATGAAGAACAAGCTAATTAAAAACAGACTTACTTAGCATTCCGCACGTGTTGTTCCCTGTAGCGCTGCAGCGCGCGCGCCGGGCAGTGGTCTACTAGTGCGGGGGCGGGG